ATAGTTCACATTATTTCTTGTTGTAGGATTAATACTTCCCAGTAGATCAGAAACACCAGTGTCACTCTCTATAATATTGATCTTTTAAAGAGAAATCCATCTAAATTTTGAAGCAAAAAATCCAATGGAGTCAGAATTATCACGGAAACCCACTTTAACAGCTTCTTATAGAGTTAACAAGTATGTAGGCAAGCAGAGTTTGAAACTTTAAAGCTGTATTTGAAACAAATGAATTCCACAAAAAAAAAAATGCAGTTCATTGGTAAATCCACATTTTTGTCCACATTCTAATCACAAAAATGTGGATTTGGAAATCAACTCCACATTTATATGGAATTCATTTGCTCCAAACACAGTGTAATCATTTTGTCTTTATACATTCAAAAGCAGATCATTCTTTTGAGAGAAAACGAAGAAATACACATGGACCCTTTGTATTTATTTAAGGGTTAACTCCCCACAATGGGGTTGACTTTGTTGATCTTTTAGATCTTTTCCCTTCGAGAGAATTGTAGATTTATATACGGGTTGCACCAACTTAATGCCCTATTACGTGTTACTGTATTTTCTTAGGCGTGGTACATATAAAAGCAGAAAATAATATATGATTCCTGTACTTTCTTTCTCTCCTTTCCACAGTGAGAAGGCAGAACTATGTTTCTCCCAAAAGAATAAAGAGCAGGCATCACTAGGGAAAAAACTGACTGGAAATGTATAAAAGTTAAACGACCATATTAATTTTATAACCAATAACAAGGAAGGCCTAGCCAGAAGAGTAGTCTGATTGATGACTACCTAGAGCCATTATCACCAAGGCCATGTAACCAAACCACTGTGGCTTGATGTTTACCCTTGGGCCTAACAACATGGGTTCTTCCAAATTCAAATGCTCTTCTGACACTTCTACCACCTGAAATGGTAACAATACAGCAATAAAATGCTGAATGGAATAGGAATAACAGAATGATTTTAAGTAAAATTCCTCGTCAATTAGATCACCAGGAATCCATAGAGAAAGAGAGAGAGAGAGAGAGAAAAAGAAAATAAGATCCAAAAAAGAACAAGGTATCAAAATGAAACCAGAAGCATTAAAACTTACAGGAGACCCCTCATTTTAACTATCAAATAAGTCAAAGCAAATGAAAAAAGATACATGAATTCGTAAAACTTACCAGAACCAACCGAAGGACCGGTAAAGCTCATGTTAGACCCAAAGAAGAGAGAGAAGGCAAATGCCAACTGCTGCGGTTTCCACAAAAGAAATCCTAGAACGAAGGAAAATTAATACTTGTTTATCATAGTAAACAAAAAAATAACATTAATTATCAAAGTCAATTAGTAATCCTAGAAGCTAGCAGCTAGGAGCTAGCACTGAGGCTAATAACGAACCAACAATATCAGCCAAGGTAAAGTTCACCAGTAGTCCAGATTATGTCAAGTTGACATTGAAGTGTTCATCTTGAGCTAAAACGATAACTGTGACAAATGGGTCATTTCATAGAAGAAGTGGAGGCACTTTTTCCTGTGTTATTCTAAAGATGCAATCAACCAAACTGGAGAAATGTATTACCACAAGAGAGCCTAACATTCTACCTAAGACCCACTAACTAGAGTAGCATGAAGGCCATAAGCCATAATTAGAACAGAGCTCCTCCAATTACGAATCAGCCCCTGTGTTGAAATTGTTCAATACCATATTTCGCGTTCATTCTCATTCTCCCTACCTCCCGAAAAATGGAAAAAAACCCGCTATTTCCCTATTTGTGACTAACAAGAGCCATGACACACAGGGAAAATGTAAATTGAAATTCTAGCTCCTTTAAATTTCCAACAGAATAACAAAATAAGGATTAAAGGACAGTAATGAATAAGAAGAAAATAATATTTATCGTTTAGAAAGATTTTAAAGATGAATATAGATTTGAAGAATAGAAAATGGGGGTTTAGGGTTTTAGGTAATACCTGAAAGCTCGATGCCGATAGTTCAATGTGGAAATAGAGACTCTAAATCTCAAGGTCCCCAACTTTCTCTGATAATCCCTTTGTGTTTTTTCTTCTTTTCTGTAAACTGAATATTTTATGCGTCAAAATTAAAATATCATTGTGGGAGATATTGTCAAAGTGCGAGAATCCCTAGGGTGTAAAGCATTCATACGTGTTGGATTCTTGACCCCATTCGTTTGTAGTTGGATCCGGTATGATTACATGAAGATTGGTGAAAGAAATTGTAAAATCTTGAGAAATAATTTTTTGAATTATTAGATCAATTAATGCGGTTTAAAAGTTTAATTAAGTTGAGTTTACCGTTACTAATTTCTAAATATTGTTTATTTTATATTTTATGATTTCAAGATACACCAATTTAGTGAGTAATGATAAATATTTTTATTAAATACCAATTTTCATTTCAAGTTGTAATAGTTATATTATAATTTTAATATCATATGAATTAAATTAATATGATATCAAAAGTACAAAGTTTTAAGCTCATAAATACATACTTTTTATGAAATTTTTATCACACCTAAAAAATTTATTTCTCAATAAATATTTATAAAGATCAATATATTATTTTATATAATTAATTTCATTGGTAGGGAGAGTTTTCTTTTTAAATGAGAAATTGGAAATTTTTTTTTAATCATTGTAAAAACGAATGGAACACTTAAATAATAATAATATTTTCAATATTTTTTTTAAACATAGTCGATAATTATAAACAGATGTTAGCTAATCGACCAGATATGTTCATTAACTGAGTTCGAAGACAGAGTAATGCAATTATTCACTGCATTGCACGTACTTCACGTGATTATTCTAATTTTCATGTATGGGAGAGGCTCTTGTTGCACTAATTCTTTAATTATTAATAAAATAATTATTTTTTAAAAAGCAATTATAATATTTTATGCTAATAACATACAATTTAGATAATATTATATATTTATTATATCTAATTTTCATCTATAAAAAAATCTTAGCGTGTAATTAGTAACCAAACCCAATTAATGTTTTGTATTTATTCTATAAAAATTTTTTCATTTGGAGAATTCTATGGTTTCTCATTATTATTATTGCTTTTTTTTGTATTTATTTATTAATTTATGGAATATAACATGGCAAAATTGAAAACGAAATAGAATTAAGCATGTAAGCCAAATTGACTGCTTAATGCGTCAATATAGTTTTGATTAATTAAAAAGTCAAAATAGATATTCAAGCATACAAAGTTTGATTGTCTAATTTCTCAAATCAACTCCGGTCCTATATGATATGCACTTTTTGTTCGTCTCACCAACTCGGTGCGTTTTGAATTAAATTCCTCGATGGCTATTTTTTAATTAATCAAAATTAATTGATTAATGTACTAATTTTGGGTAATTAGTGTACTAAATTGTTAAATTACTTGATTATTCTTATAAACAATTCAATGGGTGTGCATTAATTTAATTAAACACACGATTTCATAGAATAATTCACGACAAAGAACACCAAGCTACCTGTTTGGACCAAATCCGATAATGTTTATAAAAAATTTATTTGTACCTTATACTTGTTTTAATTATAATTCAAATAATATATAAAAAAAGTGAGCATGTAACAATTTCAGTAAAATTTGAAATAAACCAATTATATCTATACATTCCTCAATTCATTTGTTCTCTTCTAGTACCTAATAATAATTACCCAATAACATATTGTCAACCAAGTCAAGAGGGTCGGCTCTATCTACTTAATTCTTGAAATGCATCAATGGTCTTCTGCATTTTATTTTGCAAATTGGCTTTGAAATTCAACTAAATGACCCAGAATTTAAAATCAACTTAGTTGCAGGTCGTTTTGATTGTAGTGCGGGTACGTTTAGCGACAAAATTATTATCACGAGTCAAAAAGAATAGGACTTATTGAACAGAT